TTTTACAATAAAGCTTATGAATAACAAATATACGCATTTGAATTATTTTAATATTCTACATTTAACGATACATAGTTCTTTTCGCAAATCGCGGATATCTCGAGAACCAGAAAAGAAAGCTTGAAACTAATTTTGCAAGTATCTTCAATCGGCTCCTCTGCGATTTATGACACAGAGTGAAAGTTAACAAATTGAATATTTCGAGAATGGTACAAGTTGGAGTAAAATGGTTTTCGGATCTCGTTTTAGATTAGTCAGATGCAAGATACCACCTAATAAAAGTTTAATAATTTTTATTATTTAAACATTCGATTGTTAAAAACAAAACCTAGAATGTTCAAACCGGGCTGGTATTTTGCAGTTTGATGTGCTGAGAATTATATCGCAAATCTTTTTCTCTATCTCCTTTAGTTTGTTAGTTATTAATTTTGCAAGTATCTGTGATGCTATGTGGTTGTGACTTCAGGGTGATAACTTGTCGACGTTGACGTAAGGGTTACGATAGTAACTCAAGTAATGGTAACTCGCTCGGAACAGTGGTTATTTGATGATGTTAGGTACAACAAAATGGTGATACTGGTAACTTTACTCCCAAACTTCGACTCTCGAAGCACCGATTTTAACGTAAGTACCGATTTACCGACGGTAGAAGATCTGGATAGTTTTAGGTTCTAGAGGAAAAAACGACAGGGCCAAATAATAAAAATATATATATAATTATATATAAATACTAATTAGATATATTCAGTTTAAATATAAAGTTTAGTTTAAATATAAAGTCAATATTGTATTTATAAAAAAAATGGTTATCTTAGAAAAAATTAATAAATGTGTTACTATTGTTGAGAAAAAACAGAATAAAGAAACAATGGAAAAGAAAACAAATTTGAAGAGAAAGAATAGTGCATCATCTATTTTGCACGCCCGTACATACAACCAAGTAAACTTATGTATATTAAAGTTTTTAGTTTACTATAATATAATAATGTATATACAAAAACTACAAATGTTTATATTCTTTTTTTAGATAAACTAAAAAAAACTTAAAATATAAAGTGTGTGATACTCTAAGGAACAAAATATAAAGTGTGTGATACTCTAAACACTTACCTTTTCAAAAATAGGTAAAAACAGGCGTCAAGGAGACGCACAACACGTATTGTAGTTACATTAAATTATCTTTTTATTTATACTCCAAAAACTTTTTTCTCTAAAAGAAAGAACATTTTCCAACATTTATATAAAACATTCTTTCTCTAAAAACTCGTTTTACAAAAAAAAAGTGATATTACACAGTAGTACCAAGTAAATTTTGTACGTTACTTTTGTACGTTATTATGCTTTTTTTACATGAGGAAAATCCATTACGGATACTCCGGCTCTTGGGGGGTAAGGCCGGGAGTATGAGGGACTTCCCTCCCCGGCCCAAAAGCCGAGGAGGTATACTTGCTAAAACCCTCATGGTGTGTCTTCTCGCTCGTTGTAGGTAGGGCTCGGTACCTCTGGTTCAGGACAATCCTTGACCCTCTCTTGAACCGATCATTTTCCTTCGTGTTGGGGAGAACTTAAAATTCTCCCCGCAGCACCTCTGGCTCAGCGGTGTAGCGGGACACACACCGCCGCACCGCTTTTCTATTGAGGGCCGCGTGCAAGAACGAGACAGGGCCCCCACCTTGACCCGTCTTGGCCCTCGTGCAGCAGTGACGGCCCTCCCCGGGTGACGAGTTCACTCGGTGAGACTGCTGTACCCCCTCTTGTTCCGAGAGTTGTCCCGCCGGGACGGCAGACTGACGAGGGAATCGGCTACTTCAACGTCCGCCGCCCCGGCTCCTCTCCCCGCTAACTGCCCAGAAAGTAAGTAGCCACTAGCGGGGAGGGGTTTATTGTCAGGACGGGGCTCTTGGGCCACGAGAACGGGTACGAGATGCCCTGCATCCCGCCCGCACCCACCGAGAACCCGTGGCAGGAAGAGGAGCTCTTTTTTTCTCCCTCTCCGCGACCTCCTTCTGCTGCAACACTGTAGAGCAGAAAGAGACCACATATCCTTATCCCCGGAGACCAAGGCTTTTAGCAAGGCCAGAGAGAGGTTATCTCCAATCTTGGCGACCAGCGCTCGGCACTCACCAGACCAACCAGGACACTCCTCCACGGTATGGTCCACCGAGTCGCTGGCCGCCCCACAATGATGGCATTGTGCCGTCGGCTCTTCGCCAATGCAACACAGGTACTCCCCGAAACAACCGTGTCCGGTGAGCACCTGCGTCACTCGATAAGTAAGGTGTCCGGCCCCTTTCTCCAACCACGCACGAAGATGGGGTCGGACGACCCGGACAACTTCCTGAGCGTGCACACGAAGCTCGCCCAAGAGCTCCTCCCATTCTTGGAGGAGTTGTTGCCGGGCCTGGCGCTCCGCGTCGGCGAGGGCTTCCCGGAGGGCATCACCCTTCACACCCTTCCGCTGCAACTCGACCCGGCGAGCATACCTCGTCGAGTACATGCGAGCAAGAAGGGCAAAAGAAGCAACCCCCGCCAACACGCCCGCCGTCTCTGTGGCCACGGTGCGGAAGCCGCAAATCACGCGGAGGACGATCCGCCTTTGAGCTTGGCGGAGCAAATTAAATTTGCCCCGCGCCCCCGCTTTCGCTGCAGCCTCCGCCCATAGCGGCGACCCGTAAAGAGCCACCGCGTGAACCACGTTGACAAAGAGACGGCGGACCTTCTCGCGGGAGCCTCCGAGGTTTGAGAGGAGCCTCACCAAAGAGTTGGCGACTCCTCCCACTTTAAGGGCCAGACGAGCGAAGTGCTCATCAAAGCGCCATTTCGGGTCGAGGTGAAGACCAAGGTACTTAAACGTAGTACCTACCTCGATTCGTGCCTCACCCATCTTGAGACTGAGTCTTGGCGGCCGCCCGCGGCGAAGGCTATGGAACCACATGGCCTCCGTCTTGTGGACGGCCACCTTGAGACCCAAGCTCTTTATTTGGCCGACGGCTTAATTGGTGCCCGCCTCGGCTAGGGTTCTTGTCCTCCTCCAGTCCCGCTTAGAGGCGACGACGAGAGTGTCATCCGCATAGCAGATGACACCCACGCCTTTGAGCTGGACGGCCCGGATCACCGCATCGTACCCGAAGTTTCAGAGCAGGGGGCCCAGAACAGAAACCCCTGCAGAACCCCGCGGTACATCTCCCTAACGTGCGGCGATCCGTATCGGTCGGTGTATCTAATCTCTCTGCCGCGGAAGTAGTCACCGAGGATCCTGCCGTGGTGCTCCACCGCCCGCCTTATACTATCCCAGGGAAGGGAGTTGAAGGCGTTAGAGATATCAAGTGATACCGCTAACGCCACCCTCTCTTGCCCGACCGACTTATCCGTGAGGGACTTTAGACAGCGGATGGCGTCCACCGTCGATCGTCCTTCACTGAATCCGTATTGGCAGTCAGTCAAATCAGGACTTGTTTGCGACAGGTGCCTGACGAGGCGAGCAGCGACGATGCGCTCTAGCAACTTGCCCGCCTTGTCGAGCAGGCAGATCGGCCGATATGCGGACGGCAAGTCCGCAGGCCGACTCCCTTTCTGGAGGAGGACCAGTTTGGCCTGTTTTTAAACCCGTTGGGGGGAACTAACCCGTCCTCAAGCAGTCGGTGAGTAACTGCCTGAGGCGGTCCCTCAGGGAACCTTGTCCAAAGGCAAAGCCCAGGACTTTGCCGGGCACGCCGTCGGGACCGGGCGTGGTACTTTTTTGCGCCATCCGACGGACAGCCCGGCGGAGCTCCTCTTTGGTGATCCCCAGCTTGTCGGACCACTCAACAGGGTCTAATTCTGGCTCCGGCGAGGGCCAAGCGTTGAGACAACCCTCTCCAGAAGCTGGGGATCGAGATTATCTGTGATCGGAGGGGCTCAAGGGCATAGTTTGCCCATAACCAACTTGTATGGGCGCCCCAACGGATCACCGTCAAGAGTCTTGAGGAGCTCATTCCACGCTCTGGACTTTGCCTGGATAATGGCTATACGTAAGGCTTTTCGCGCCGAGCAATACCTCTCGTAAGCCACCTCCGCTGCTCTCGTCCCTCTGCCGCTAGCAGCGCGACAGAGGACGTGGGTGTACTGGCGTCGGGACTCAACGCACGCCGTCCTGAGGACGGCTAACTCATCCGACCACCAGTACATCTACCTCTGCTTCGGTGGTCCCCGGAAACGCGGCATCGCTATGTCACAGATGTCAACCAGCGTCTCGGAGAACCACCAAAGCTCCGCTTGGAGGTCCCGCGGCTCAGCCGGCAGTTTCGACCGAGCCGCAACCTCGGCAGGTAACGTGGGTCCAGACGTCGCAAGACCCACCCCCTGGATAAGAGTCTCTTCGCCGTCCGACAACCCCGGAGCCAGTCAGGGAGCACAGAGACCGTCATCGTTATATAGCGATGATCCGACAGGATTTCCATGTCATCCCTGACCCGCCACCCGGACACACGTCCGGCGGCAGGCGGAGAGGCAAGGGTCACATCCACGATGGACTCCCCCTTATTGCCGCACGCACGTGTGCTGCGAGCCCTTGGTAAGGAACACGAGCCCGCAGGCCGCCGCAAAGGTTTCAAGAGCACGGCCCCTCGCATCCGTCCCGGGGGAGCCCCAAGTCGTAGACTTGGAATTAAAGTCCCCCAGGACGAGCAGTGGACGAGCCAGGTAGGGCCGAACCGCTTGCCCTAGCCCGTCCAGAAACTTCTCAAAATCAGCGAGTGGCCGCGACGGCGAGAAGTACACCCCTACTATCACCAGTTTCCCTCACTGTACGGTGATGAATCCTCTGCCTCTCTCCAGAAAAGAGAAAACAGAGGATTCGTATCCACCCTCTCCACGAAAGTACGTCGCGACCGAGCCGTCTTCCGCCCCCAACTACGACGAGTGGTCAGGGACTTTGTACGGGTTGGCCACGACCGCGAGCATTCTATCCAACTCCGCGAGGCTCTGGACCATAAGGTTTAGATTGCCCTGGAGTAAGGTGGTCATTGCAAAGTCGGTGGCACCTCTACCTCTATCGCCGTCTCTTCCAGGGCACTACTGCTGGCGGGAGTGTGCTGGCTAGCCACCTCTGCCACGTTTTTTGCTGTCGCAACTGAAACGGCAGCAGGTGCTTTTTCTGGCGTGGGGGAAGGGGTAGACTTTTTCCCCCCAGCAGCCTGTTTTGCACCGCGCTTCCCTTTGCGGAGGATCGGGGCACAGGCTTTGCCTCCACATTGATGGGTCGCAGGCCGGCCGAGGTCCGAACACAGCGGGCATTTAACCGCCGCTGTGCACTCCGTCGACCTGTGTCTCTTGCCGCCACACCGGTCCCTGCGGTCTTCCTCTGGCGTGGTGTAAGTGCATGTCGCAATGACATGCACGCGCAGGAGGCACTTGTAACATTGCAGGGGGCGGCGCTCCAAGACCTCGATCTGCACCTGCACCAATCCTACCATCATGAATCCGGCGCCCACCACCTTGCGTGCGGCGGCGACGGGACACCGGACCCAGACTGTAAATAGCCGATTGGAGGACGCGCGAGCTCGTCCGACCTGAACGTCGGCCGGACGACATCCCCCAACAGCTACCACAGCTTCCTTCACTTCCTCCGAGGTGACTGACTCCTTGAGATCCCTGACGCGCAAATCACACATCTTAACGGGCCTCGAGATCCTCACCCCGGAATCTCCCGTAAGGGGAATCATTGCCGCACACCGCCGGTCGGCTTTTTCTTCATTGTCCTCACCGAATTTCAATGATGAGGGCCTCGATGATGGCTCTCTTCGGCCTCAAATTTTGGAGACCAAAGTCCTCCAGTCGTAATTGCTTCCTGATGGAAGCAAAGACTTCCCCGACGACCTGTATGTCCGCCCCGGGGGGAGGCGTGAGTGTAATGGCCGCCGACCGGGGCGACCTGCCCACTTTAGAAGAGCGCTGCCCGGGCTTAGCCCTAGGCGCAGCGGACTCCTTCCTCTTTTCCTCCTTTCTTCCCACCATCTGCGACCACGTTGCAAATGGAGGGGCAGGGAGAGCAGGTCGGTCAAGGATCTGGCTTGGAAGACCGGATGAGATCGGCGTTTGGGCGGAAACTCCGCCGGCAACACTCTTGGGACCCTCGCCCCTCTCCTTTCCTCCTCCTTTTTTCCTTTTCTTTCTCCCCTTCTTCTTCTTTTTCTTCCTTTTTGTGGCGAGAGAAGAAAAGTAGGTTCCCTCTTTGGGGGCAGTAGCAGCGGGGGGTCGACTCCCCGTTCCCGCCCCCTTCTCCTTAGAACCTCTCCTGCGGGATGAACTCGCGGGGGCACTTACCCTCCCCCCCCCAACGGACCCCAGAGCAGGGCGTGCGAGCTGGGCGAGGAGCTGCTCTTGAAAGACAGCAAGTTGGTTCCTCACCATGTCCAACGTCCTCCTAAATATCTCCTTTGCGGAGAGTGAACCCTCATCTTCCGCCGGCGGGAATGAGTACCGGAGTGCCATTGGCACATCCGGCTGGTCCTTCATGGGTACGTCCCGGCCTGAGTCTCCCACAGGTGCGAAGGGCGTGGTCTCTACGTGAGGCCCTTACGGCGCCCGGGAGGAAGACGGCATAGGCGACTTCCTACTTATCTTAGAGGAGAGGGTGGCTAAAGGTTGTGAGGAAGGGAGAGTTGAGCGGCCCTTAGGCTTGTTCCCCTCCCAGACCCCCTTCAGTCTCGCCATCCTGAGGGAGGTGAGTTCTCTCCTCAGGTCCTCCAACTCCTCATGGAACGTGTCCACCTCCCGTTCGAGAGTCTTACACTCCCTTTGGACACTGTTCAGTTTTGCTTGAACAGCGGCCCTCTCTTCTTTTAGGAAGGCGACTTGGTCACGGAGGGTTGACACCTCGGTCCCCAACCTTGCGTTGAGAGTTCCGAGGCGCCGAACCTCTTTCTCTGAGTTCGTGCGGCTGGCCACGATGTTAACGGCCTGTTCTAGGCCGTCTGATCGGCCTGGTCCGGTACGTTTATGCTCTTGTTCTTACACTTCATCATTATTGCTGTAAGGTAAGATTTGATTTCGGGGTGATCTTTTCCTAGGCCGGTTGACAACCAAGTCTAACGAGTCCGATCTGCCCGGGTGAGCTCTTAGTCTGGCAGGTCCTGGAAGACCTGTCCGGCATAGGAAACCCTGCCAGGACCGAAGTCCCGCCGTTATAGCTCTTCCATTCACCCTTGCACGCCAGCACCTCCACCACGTCAAGGTGGCACACCCCCGGAAGGGTACATTATTATCATAATCTAAGTATACATAACTATTTTGTTAAGTTTATGTTACGGAAAAAATTTTGAAATAAAGAATTGTCTAGGCCTATTAAATTAACAAAAGGATTTGTAGTGAAACTAACAAGTAGACTCAGCAAAACTTTACTTTCCGTGAAAAACAAAAAACAAAAAAAAATTTTGTCAAAATAAAAAATATTTAATGCAAAAAAACTTGGCGTGGCTGCACCTCAAATATAATAAACTGAAATTTTTATATGCACGGCAGTCTGATACTTACATGTGCACATGTAAGATATGTCTGTCTGTAGATAAATTTTTTTAATTATTCTGATTTACGTTCCTCGCGGTGGTTTTTTTAATGATTACTTCCACTGCGTTCTATCTCTTGAACTCTCGCGACTTCTTTCTCTCTCACATTCTCTCACTCACTCTCTCTCTCTCTCTCTCTCTCTCTCTCTCTCTCTCTCCTCTCTCTATCGGCACGTGAGTATTAACAGACGTGTTTCTTGTGAGCTCTGTTCTTTTGAGTACTTTTCTGTCGCTTTCTGGCCTTCGGGCCCCTTTATTTTTTGCAGAAGGTTTTTCTGAGCATATTGCTTAATAATTTTCTTAACATCCGCCTCTTCTTCGGACCTCTTGGGTGACTTTTGTGGAGTTTTCTCTTTTGGAATCTGTGTGGAACTTTCTGGATAGCACGTCGGTTACCTGTCAACATCCACAGGTGCGCCTGCGCATCTTGGAGTGGGGTGTGAACTTTGAACTCTGATCTGACTCGAAGCTGTTTTCTATGATGTCGGTGCGGCACTCCTCTCCCCCTGCTTCAGGCCTTGATGACAGCTATCGCGAGGAGGGCAATCTGCAACGGCAGCTTTCTTCTTCATCTCTACAATCCATGGTAGGTCCTTGCGGTTTTTCTGCCGGTTCCTTCATGAATGCATCTAGAGTGCATGCTACACGGCGCTCTATCAATGAGCGCATAAATGCGGTTTCTAGAATACTTTTGACTAGTAAGGAGGCATCTGATAAAAGATCTCAGATAGAATCTGCCCTGAGAGCTTGTAAGGAAGCATATTTTGAACTATTCACAATCTATCTTTGCCTGCTTGAGGAAAAGAATAAGAATGTTTCTTTAACGTCTGAAACTATTAAAGATATGATTTTTCAAGCTTTCTCGCAATTTAGTTCTGGATCACTCCGCGAGAATAGTGTCGCAGGAGACTCGGATTCTCCTTGCTCGTACGCATCCGTTGCAGGATCTTCTGCCTTTGCAATAAAAGTTGCACGAGGTCCTTCTATTCCGGTCAAAAAGACTACCAACTTATTAATAATGCCTAAAAAAGAGACTCAGGACAAATTTGCCTTTTCCAAGGAAACCAAAGAAATTTTTCAAAAAATCATCAAGTCTGTGGATTTTAACTTAAAGGTCAACAGAATAACGACTACTCGTAACAAAGAAGTGCGTATTGAAGCTCAGTCGGGCGATATCGACAAGATCAAAAAATCAAGAGAACTGGATAGAGCTGGCCTGGAAGTTGAGCAGGTTTCGAAGCTTAAGCCTCGGCTTATTCTTCATGATGTTCCTGCGAACTTATCTAAAGAGGACTTAAAGACCGAGCTGATTTCTCTTAATCTGAATAATCAAATAGACACGGATGTTAATGTTGTTTACATTTTTCCGCAGAAAAAAGGCCGATTTGTCAGCTGCGTGATAGAGGTATCTCCTGAAGTACGCACAAAGCTTCTACGCGTATCTCATGTCTACATTAACTATTCGGCATGCAGGCTTGAGGTCTATGTCAGGGTACTTCAATGCTATAAATGTTTAGCATTTGGGCATTTTTCTAGAAATTGTACTGCAACATCTATCTGTGGACATTGCGCTGGTGCTCATGAGATGAAAGATTGTTCTAAGAAGGATGAACGTACTCTATGTGGAAACTGCAAAAGGTGAATGCATGAAGAACTGCCTCATTCTGCGTTGGATGGCAGAACTTGTCCTATTTTAAAAAAGCGACATGAAGAGAAAATTAAAAACATTAATTATGGCTAACTCTTCAACTACAATGGATTGCATTCAAATCTGTCATGTTAACTGTCAATCACTGCTAGCTCATATTGACAAATTCAGGACCTTCTTTGCAACCTCGCAGTATCACATTATATGGCAATCCGAAACATGGCTAAAACCTGCGATTACTGATCAGATGGTCTCTCTATCTGGCTACCAATTATATAGACGCGATCGTATTGGTAAGGGCAACGGTAGAGTTGGCCTTTTTGTGGCTAACTCACTTAGAGCAAAGATTCTGGTATTCTCTGAGAGTCGGTACTGTAAAAAGCCTGAGTTCATGTTTGCTGAGATCTCTTCTGACAAAAAAAGGCTTCTACTCACTGTTGCCTACAGACCTCCTCATTGCGGTCACCTACTTGATTTCTTCAATACCTACTCCAATCTCTCTGCGCTGTACAGGCATTCAATAATTTTTGGTGATTTCAATGCCAATCTACTTACCAAGACGTTTGATTCAGATCAAATTATCAACTTCATTAATGCCTCGTCACTTTATTTAGTACCTTATATGCCCACTCACCATACTTCTTCTTCGTCAACGTTACTTGACCTGTGTATTGTGGACGACAGTGACATGCTTCTATCCTATTCTCAGCGTGATGTCTGCTTTCTCTCGACACACGATCTTATCGAAAGTACATATAATATTCATGTTAGCAGACAGATTTCTCGGACAATTACCGTCAGAAATTTTTCTAACTTTGACGGTGAGCCCTTTTTGTGCGAACTATCTAGCCTCGATTGGAACGCTTTAACGCCTGCACTTATGACGTTGTTTTAAAAATTGATAAATTTAATAACTACATTCTAAATTGTCTGAATAATCACGCACCTCTTAAGACTATTTGACCTAAACATCTACCAGCTCCCTGGCTAACGTCGGAGATTAGGTTTGCTATGACCTTGAGAAATAAGCAGCGCAGGAAATGGCGACAGCTCAGAAGCGAGACCAATTATTCACTTTACAAGATTTTAAGGAATCAAGTACATGAATTGGTGCATAGAGCGAAACAAGATTACTACATGTCAATCTTCTCCAACATTAAGGATCCCGCTAATACTTGGAAGAAACTGAGACAACTTGGACTAGTAAAATCTAAAACTTCTGACAAAAACTTGCTCTTCACAACTGACAAACTAAATACTTTCTTTTTGTCCAATATTTGCTATTGCCAAGTTGATTCTAGTGTAGTCTATTTGGGAGATGAGATGTACAACAACACAAAATTCTATTAGAGAAACATTGAAAGTGATGAGGTCTGTAGTGCCATTAAAAACGTTAAATCAGATGCTACTGGAACTGACGGCCTTTCCCTGAGTATTATTAAACTGGCTTTTTCATGCA